GGTTTTTTTGGAGAAACATGGCCATGTTTAATAAAACAATTTTATGCTAAATACTGATTCAATCGAAGGGAAATTTTTTTTCTACGGAGGCTGTGAAAATTAGTGGGGGGGCTTTTTTTTGCAAAATTTAGTTTTTCACTTTTTCAATACGTGGATGTTCAATTGATCCAGATTGTACCCTTCCGGGGAATTTTTAAAAGGAAGTGGGTTTAAGCCAAAAAAAAGATAAGTTATGGATTTTGGGGAAGCATCTTTCCTTTTTTTTAATTGTATAATTTTTCGCTAGTGTCTCTATGTCTACAAAAATCATATATACCTAAATTGAATTGTAGATTTAATGTTTTCGTCCATTTTTTTGTTATACCTTTAAAAATTGTTCCTTTACAAAAAAAACCGTACGAAAAAGGCTAAAATTTTTAATATTTTGCTGAGCAAGCATAAAAAAAAAAAAATATTTAAACGCTGGATGAGATGTCATAGAATGGGCGGAGCTTAATCTCATTTTCAATCGCTGGTGTTTATTAAAATACAAAACCCAGGTAACATCACTGACGACAGTACAAAAAAATCATACGGAAAGGTATAACAAAACATTTATTGACTACGTTCTCGGGCAAAATGCGTTTTGTTAACTCTAAACAAACATGTCAACGGCCCAGGCAGACGGTTTGGTTCTTGGTCCACAAAACGCATGTTAACGTTGCTCTCGAACTCAGTCATTAAATGTATAATATTTGATTTCAAATTGACTGGCTCATAAGTGTTTTAATCCAATCATTTCCTACCGAAATTCCTATGAATTTTATCATCAAAGGATCACTTCATTATAAATAGGGATCTGACCTATAGGACCGGGCTTGGTTTTTTTCTCTACAAAAAGCTTGTGATTTCCCCGATTTAAAGACATTAGGCTAAATACATATAATAATTTGTTTTTCCTAATTTTTATTTATTGTAGAGGTAGGAGGAACCCTTTCATTGATTTTCTGATTTTTAATCTCCATATGTCCTAACTGATATTTGTCTTTACTTCTCATGGTTCATAAAGGTAGTGTCTACTGTCTCTGAAATTCTGTTTACATGTCTAGGCCATTTATCCGTGGATATAATAAAACATGCCATTAATGTGTGCAAATATAGGCCTAAATGAAATCCCAAAGGGGGTGCATTTACTGAAATATGTAGCCAAAATCATGTGATTTAATTATAAGGAAATATACAATTGAAATTCATCGCAGCTCAATGCTTGCAAGAATACCTTTTTTGAGGAACACGGAGTGAGTTATTCTTGTTCAAAAAATGTGCTTATACTAGGTTCGTTCCCCTACTGAGAACTTGCATTGGATTGTTACGATTTGAGATCTCTTTTAATGTTTCTTATATATTAAGAATGGGCATGCATAAAGGATAGGTAATTGAAGGGAAAATACTCATATCTATATAAAAAAACTAAATAGTCTTTGAAAAGGCGAAATTTAAAATTTTATAAGTGTTGTACCAGGTGGATTCGAACCCCCGACTTTAAAAAAAAGTTCCAAGGTGCAAAAGTCAGCGCTTATTATGTTCCCCAAACAAGTTGGGGAACTTTTGTTTTACTCTGTTTCTTATTATTATTATTTTTCTTCTTCTTCTTCTTCCTGGGTACTTTTTTGTCCGGGAATATCTCGCAAACTATACATCCGACCAAGGTGAAATGTTTTTAGGGTCAGTAGACATGTTATGTAGATTTGCGGAATGAAGGTCATTTTGCGCGCACGTGCTTGCAAGAGCGTGCACGTGCAACATGTGAAATGACCGATTTAATTGATATAGGCGTAACTTTTTCAATTTTTGATGAAATGCTTTGAAACTTATAATATAAGGATATATTAGTAGCATAGACAATATGAAATGGTCAAAATAGCAAGATCTTACGCGCATGCACGTGCACTTTGCTCTGATTGGCTAAAACTAAAGTCTCAATATCTTTCTTGTTTTTTGACGAAATCCTTTGAAATTTTGAAAATAGCCATGCATTAGGATATCCTACAAAATGATGTATAGCAATTATCATGAAAACACGTGCATGCACGTGCGCTGCAATCTGATTGGCTGAAACTTTAAATAGCTATAACTCCCTTGATTTTCAACCAAACAGGATGGGATTTGAAACATAGATAGATATAATGGACTTCTACAAGGAGGTATCATCACCATGCACATGCATACACGTGCATGTACTTGCGCTGCAATCTGATTGGCTGAAACTTTAAACAGTTATAACTCCCTTGGTTTTCAACCAAACGGGGTGGGATTTAGAACAAAGATAGATGTAACGGAGTTAAAAAGGTATGGTCACCATGCTCATCCCGGGGGTTGCAAAGCACGTATGTGCACGTGAAATGAGCAAAATAAAAAAAAACACTTGAATTAGCGCATCTTTTTAAAACTTTTGGATTAAATACTTTAATGTTTAGTATATTGAAATATATAGATTGTGTAGACAAGATGTTATGGTAATTACGCACATTCATTCACATGCGCACGCGTGCAATGCTAAAATTTGAATGAACTTTGTACACTTCTTAATAAACGTTGTTAAAGTTTCAAATGCATCGAGTTTGTTTATTTAATGAAGCCCCCAGGGAATATGGCACCCAAAGGGATTTGGGGACTTTTGGGGAACATCTGTAACGGTCCCCGTTACAATTAGCACTAGTATCTTTTGAGCAAAGTCTGACTATAACAAGGAGTGGATAAATTTCAAGCAGGTGAAAAAAATAGGTTTCCTTATTTTTATGGGTTTTTTTTGTGAATTTCGACCCCAGGGCAGGGGTGCCCCTAAAAAAATCTTTTCTTAATTTATTCCTTACATCCTAACCTATCAAAATATCACAATTTTATTTAAAGGCAGGCCTCCCCTAAAGGGACAAAAAGGGCCAAAAATTCATGCAAAAATCAATTTTTATAAAAATTTGGTGTTTGGGTCAACTTTGGAGGTTTATTTAAAGTTGTAAAAAAAAAAATTTCAATCAAATACAAATTTGAAAAATTTAGACATATATACGGTAGAAAACAACAAATAAAGATTAATTTTTAAATGTCTTTTTTTGCTGGAAATTGTTCTCTCCTATAGGTCAATTCTTTTGTTAAACCCAATACATCCTTTCGGGCGTGTTTTTGTACATGTACCTCTGCAGCATCAAATTAATTTCCACAAATACAAGAATTCCAAGACTGCTTGATATAAATGAGATAACAAAACAGACCTAGCTTGCTTTTGAAAAACTTTCCCCTTTTCAAACCCAAATATTCCGATAAATTCGAAGCCTAACCATTTTTTCTTCTCCAAATTTGATCTCGTCACTTTCCCATTAAAGCCTTCAAACCTGTTCTTTTTTCTGAATTGACATTTTGAAACTAGTATTTATTTCTTTTATACTAACACAGTTACCAAAAAATGTCCTTTTTAGATCCAGATATGTAACTGAACATGCTGAAGTATATCTTTGTATTTAAAGGCGTAAAATTTTATAAAATATATTATTTTTAGCTCCCTGAGCTGAAAGCTCAAATGACTTTTTGATCACATTTTGTGGGAACCCCTTTTTTGCCCCTGTAAAACCTTTCACATTTTTTTACCCAAAAAAACCACCAGGCGAATTTCAACCAAACTTGCCACAAAGCATCCTTTGGTGAAGGGTATTTTAGTTTGTTCAAAAGAAGGGCCACATCCTCATTCAAAAAAGATAAATTTAGAAATAGTGAAAATTTAGTGGCATCTTTAAAAATCATCTTCTCAAGAACCACTGTGCCAGGAAAGATGAAAAATTTTAGAAAACTCCTAGGTAGTGTAAAATTCATTTTTCAAATCATGACCTCCAAGGGTAGGGCGGGGCCACAAAAATTTTGATCAAGTAAATATATAGGAGCAGGCGCGGATCCAGAAAAAATTTTTTTCCCGGGGGGGGGGGGCCACCTTGGGGGAAAAAAAAAACCAATCCCAGAATTTCTTGACAAGCAAAAAAAAAATGATAATAAAACTGCCCCAAAAGTCAAAAACCTATTTGGGGGGTGGGGGTGGGTGGGTAGGTGGGGGGTGGTGGGGGTTTATTTTTATTGCTTTAAATCTTTAACTTTTCATACCCATTTCACACATATTTGTGTTTTCCAGGGGGGGGGGGGGGCTGCGTTTCCAATTTTCCATAGGGGGGCCTGGTAACTTTTTTCTTGTTTTAGTATATACATTTTTTAACCTAGTAAATTCCAGGGGGGTCCTTTGGGAAACCCCCCCAAACCCCCCTCAATTTTGCGCATGGGGGAACTCATTAAAAAATCTTCTCAATAATAGCAAAGCCTTGATTGGTAATATTTTTTTGGAAGCATCTTCATAACGTGTAGATTTGAGTTCAAATCATGAAAACCTTGGGGGGGAGGGTGGGGCCTAGCTGCAGAACTGTAGCTTTCTGCTTGAAAAAAAATTCGTAATAATAAAGCAGAGGGTTACACATTTCCCAAACGTTGTAAAAATCTTCGGTTTTAAAACGCTGCCCAAATTTTTTCGCTCACTTCTATGGAAAGCCAACGGGTTCAAAATTCCAACTCTGTAATTCTTAAAATGTACACGTAAATCTGAATTTGTAAAGGGAAATCTTAATTTCATAATCTGTAAATTGTTTTTTTTTTACAATTTGTTGTTTAAAAATCCATGCGTAATTTGACAAGTGTAAAAATGTAAATGCAAGTTTTGCCGATGCTTTGTGTAATTCGCAGACTTACGATTTGTCAACTTGTGAAATGTAAATTATACTTTCGTGATTTGTCAATTATGCAAGGTTTCATTATTTAGACGAAAGGGGGCGCTATAGGGGTGGCAGGTTTATTCGTTGCTTAACAATTTAATCACTAATCACCAATCCGTCCAGCAATGCACCATACCTGAGGGTTTTTTACGCGACTGGCCCAGGATAGACAAGAGTGGAAGAAGTTTGTTGCTGCCCTGCAACCACAGGGTGTAAAGGATGACGATGATGATGAATGCGTCCTACCTGGCAAAAATATCAAGAAAGGCTGATGAAATGTTTATAAACTAGTTTTATGTGTCTTTAAGACTGTTTGTAAATAATAATGTATTAACATGGGAATACTCTAGTAAAAACTCCCAACAATTCTGAATAATTTTCGATTTTAACATTATTTTTTGAAAGCCTTTTCTGTAGTGTTACTGGCAGATTCGGTAGGAGGGGGTTGGAGCTGGGTGATAAAGGCCAATATCGACCCCCTCAGATTTTCATTAAAGAATTTTATAAAGTAAAACAATCAAGAAATAACCTCAGACCCCCCTTTCAGGAGTTATGGACCTCTCGTTTATAAGTAGAAGAGTCATATAAATATTTGAAACAGCTTATCAACAAGAATTGTCCACCCCCCCCCCCGCACACACACACGATTTTTTTTGGCCTGTGGATTAATTTTTTTAGTGGACATGAAGCTTTCTCCTCATTTTAAAATTACATGTATTGACAGCTAGACCCATTCATGTCTTTGTAAAGTACACATTAGTTTGTATATACGGAAAATTTAAATTAAAATTTATTTGAAGTGATCATATATTAAGTACGTAGTTTTTCTTTTTCTTCCAAACAGATGACTAATTTTGTGTTTATAAATAATCATTAATATATTTATAATGTTTCGTAGATTTAAGAGTAACATACTACTAGGAAGGGAGGGTCCTTCTCTTTGCACCACTCACTGATCAGTTTGTATACATTAATCAGGTGATTTTATGAGCCGAAGACAACCCAGAAGGTATTCAAGCATCTCAGTTGGATTACATATAGTTTATTTTATGCATCCCTATGAAACAAAATGAAGTTCAGAAAAAGGCTTCCTTGCCTTCTGCCACAAAAACAGAACACGTGAAAAATCTAGTCATCATGCATGTAGCAACGTTTTTGAAAGGGGCCCGAAAAATAATTGACACTTTTATCTGAAAACCCTGGGGATGGGTATGGTATATGGTTCTTTCTTTTTCACAAGACAATTCGATTCATAGTTAAACATGTTCGAGAAAAAACGGGAAGGGGGAGCCCCCCTCCAATACGTTGTACAACGTGCCAAGTCTTTACGCTTCTTTATAATACTGAAAAAAAGCTTTCGGGTTCTATTCCCGCGGCACCTCTCCGGGGGGGGGGGGGGGGGTTGGGAAACCGGATCCCCTCCCCCCCAAAAGTACAGTTATTAATTGTATAAACTGAAGCACATAGAAATGACTTTGGACCCCCACCTACCCCCCCCCCCCCCCACACACACACATACACACGCAAACCACAACCACCAACACGAAATAAGTTAATATTATTATTATTTTTTTTTTGCTTGTCGAAGAATTTTGGTTTGGAATAATTTGACAGGTGCACCTCGTCCCCCTTTGGAAAAAATTCCCGAGATCCGCACCAGCCTTATGTACTACCGGTATATACGAGAAAAGTTTTGTGTGTTTAGATCCCCGATCTTTTCTCTGTTAAACTTAAATCTTATTTGTATACAGCTTAAGAGATACTTGAAGGCATGATATGCATGCATACCACAAAACTCAGTTGGTTAATGATCTTTTTATCTTTGGAGCGAAATGACTTTCCCATATAGCGCCCTCTTTCGTCTTAATATGCAACCTTGCATAATTTACAAATCATGAAAGTACATTTCACAAGTTGACAAATCGTAAGTCTACCAATTACACGAGAGCATCGGCAAAACTTGCACTTTTCAATTTATGTTGGATAATTTACAATTAACAAATTGTGAAAGACCATTTGACAAATTATGAAATTAAGATTTACAATTTACAAGTTCAGATTTACAAGTGTACATTTTTAAGAATTACAAAGTTAAAATTTTTAATCCGTTGGCTTTCCATTCACTTCGAGTATTATTTCTGGTATTTCTTTTCCTTTTTAGTGCTCATGAATGTGAGCGATGTGGGGCCCCTGGACCTCTTGTTTTATTTTTAGGGTTTTATTTCCTTGAATTTGGACAGGGAAGCATACAATTACAAACAAATCACGAAAATCCATTTTCTGAAGGGGATGTTGTGCAGTTGCAGTTTAGTGGAAACATCAGACGTATTTCTGCGTTAACGAAAGTAAAATCTAATCTTTCTTCTTTTCCTCCTTAATCTTAAAAAAATTATGGGTGTTTACATAAACATACAATTAATCTGTTAATATAGAGAGTCATAAGGCATGATTTGTAGCGACACAATATTATAATTACATATCATTATTCAAAATCGCGGAAATGTATATATATTTTATGCCTTTTACTTATATTTCGTTTTTGGGTTTATTTCAATTTTAGAAAATTGTTGTTTTCCCTATGTGCAATTACATTTCCGTAATGTATTGATCAAAGCTCCGATGAGAATAAGGGTAAATCATAAAAATTAGAGATACTGTGAGCACTGAGTTCGCTAAATGATCCCCCGCCTCTCATGTAATTATAATGGCAAAATGCGTGGTTTGTTTGAGAAGGGAAATTTCCGTAATGTATTGATCAAAGCTCCGATGAGAATAAGGGTAAATCATAAAAATTAGAGATACTGTGAGCACTGAGTTCGCTAAATGATACCCCCGCCTCTCATGTAATTATAATGGCAAAATGCGTGGTTTGTTTGAGAAGGGAAACCCGAAATAAGTGTCAGATAAAAAGTGAAACAAAAGCTACACGACTGCATTAAAATATGTAATAACAAAATATATGTGAAAATATTTTTTCCTTAAATTTCATTCAGTGGTATAGGAGGAGTTGTGGATAAGAGATAATTACCCTCAAATATGTGTTCAATCTAAAAGTAAAATACTTTAAAAGGTGTACAACTGGACTTTGTGACAAATATTCTCTATAGATCTCATTAAATTTCATTCAGAGCAAAACAGGAACTTTGCTATTAAACATATGGCAGGCAGGGTTTCATTTAGTGAGCTGATTGCTTAGAGTGCCTCAAGTTTAAATATACAGTTTAAATAATAGCTGACAATTGTGTGATCATAGGTCTTAAACATTGCATCTTGAAATTGAACAGACAATTAGGATGTTTTAAAATACATCAATAGACATAATAACTTAAAATCATTACATCGTATATGTATTTTAAAATATAAATAAATATTTCCGTCTCTGTTGGTTTTTTTCTCTGAAAACTCGTTGAAAGCAAATTTACATGATATATTATCATTCTCCAGAATGTAAATTTCGCAAAACGATAGGTCGAAGCTAAGGGAGCTTAATATGCGTGTAAATCTCGTGGATGTGTTCCCCGAAAGGCTAATGCAAAAACAAGAATTTCTCACTCAATTAAGGGGCCTCAAAGGGATACAGGTAAACTTACCTGATATGTTTACCTGAATAAGCAATATTTGATATATCAGAAAAATTCTTTATTTTTTTTTAATTTAGAGATATTGTTTTTTTAAAGATATTTTTATTTCATTCAAAATATAATTTTTTTGTTCTGTCTTATTGAATTCATTTATTTATTTATCATTTAATTATTAAATCTTTTTTAAATTTTTTAAACATCATAAAAAATAGAGTCTTTACTTAATAATCATTGTTTAGGATAAAGAGATTTGATGTTATTAATTAACTCTTTATTAAATCTTTTTAATTTTAAATTATCATAAAAAAACAGAGTCTTTAATTACTTAATAATACATTGTTTATAATAAAGAGATTTGATGTTATAGAAACAAATAACGTTCAATTGATTTTTAAATAAAAACATAAATTGATAAGCTATTTGATGAAGCAACTGATTTTGATCAGTTCACTTTGTAATTTTAAATAAGCAAAAGTATCATAATTAGTGTCAAAGAAAATGATGTTCTGAACTTTTTAATATTGGAGTGCACAACGCTAGAAGTTAAAGTTCAATTTTTTCACTTAAACCAATTAACGGTACATGAGGTTCTATTTACAATATATACAAAAAAACAATGTACAAGACACACGTGAAATACATTCATATTATGAAGTAACAAAAAAAGTTATGGAGGACAGACTTTTTCATATACTCTGTTTATATAACTGCATAGTTTGATTAATACTTTCGAGTAAGCAGATGGCATTTTGAAAGTTTAAAAAAAGGTTATCACAGTATTTCTAGGTAGGTAATTTTTCTATTTAAAAAAATGACATACTAAAATGTTGTGATATTCATCAGAAATTTGTTCATTATTACACAGAATACATAGTCTATCATGTTTGGGAATTCCAAACCATTTCCATTTACTTGGAGACGATAATCTGCTGTTCTTAATTCAATTAAAATTGTTCTATATTTTATAGGTAGTTAGTCTAAATTTTTTTCAAATCAAAATTTTTTTGAAGATACTATACATTAGATCTTTAAACGAAACGCGCATATTATTCGCCACTTCTGTATATACTGATCTTTAAGACGTTGTTCAATTTTACAGCTTTTAGCCATTTAATTTTTAAAAATGCTCATTCATTCCATATAATTGAGAAGCCTTAACTATCGTATATTTTTAATGCATTAAATCCAAGGGTTCTAATGACCTCCTGAATAAACTGTTTAAAAAAATGTTTATATGGAACATAAACAATCTTATTTCAGGGCTTACCAATAATTGTCCCCAAAAGGGGTAGCATTCTTACGTCATAAACCCTTATATAAAAATGAAGCGACCCGTTTGCCATAAAATATATATCCACGAGGACTACTTTTTTAAAATTTAAAAAAGAATTTTAAAAATTTTAAAATGAACTTATTTCGTTCCATTATATCATTGTTCTCAAAACCCCATTTCACATCCATACAAAAATAACGGAGTACATTTATAACAAATCAAGCTAACAATCAACTGGTAAAAAATGTCTTATTTTTGTATACCTGCATACATGGCTTTTTAAGCTTGCTCACACAAATGTTTTAAGCTCTACAGAATGAACCCTTTTGAAAATAGTAGAAGAAAATTTCACTCGGCTAAAAGAATGCATAACTTGTAAAAGCCAGAAGAAAACAAAAACGTTATTGACAATGTTTAGAAAACATAAAGCTGACCTGAAACATCTTTGTGAAAAAGCCCCAAAAGCAATGCAAAGTGGTCTCAGAAAAATTAGACAATTGAACTTCCTATCGCATGTTAACTTGATTTGTTCGATAAAATGGTTTTACCGGTGTTATCTATGACTGTGAAATCTGAAGTTTTGAAAACCTAGATATTTTTGAACGTACTCATCTCTAAAAGTTTTGAAAAATATTTTTTTTGAAAAGTAGTACCCCGAATTATATGGCTTATGGTGAAACAGTACGATTAATTCCTATTATCTGCCTTGGCTTATTTATTCCCGAATAGTCTCATACTGGTGTAAATTAATGAATAGCCCTGAAAAGAAAACTTCATGTATATAATATCAATATTTAATTGCTAATTCACAATCTGAAATAGGTAAGAATCCTGGATTGACTGTGTTCACCATATTTTTGATTCCTGTGGACTGTGTATAGTATCTCATATTTGGAATGAATAATTTTGTTATAATCTTAATCAAGTTACTACTGCGTTTAAGCAAAGATGACAGGATCTAATAAATATACAATATTTTTTTATGGGTGGCACTGTAGCTTTCCGGTCTGTCAATATATTGTTTTCAGAGAGCTTCAGTTCTGTAGCTAAAGTAAAACACATTTAGACAAAAACATGAAATTTACATGCATATTAGGCCTTCTTAGCTCCTGATCTTTCTTTTAACGAAAGTTACAATTTGGTCTCTGGATCATTTAAAAATTAACTCACATAGCTATAAAAAGATTTCACAGAGAAACCAAATAGAAATGGAAATATAATATTATAATGAATATCGTTTATAAAGGGTGTCAGATGGTGCAAGAAAGAATCTGGGACATTCAAGCCCATCAGCCTACAAGATTCTCCCATTATGACTTTAGTACCTAGCGGCCAAGATGGATGCACTCAATTTTCTTTAATATTTTATCACATTACACAAAATGACACAGATCTGGAAATCATGTGTGATATGAAAAGCTCTATTTACGATACTGAATGTCGGGAATATAGTAATACTCCGAAAATTTTGATAAACACAAGCATCGAAACCAAAGGTTTTGAATTTTATTACAGCATACATAGTTTTAAACATAGAAAAATTCCAAATTGTAATAATCTTAAATATAATATTGTGAATTTTGTCAATTTTATATTTTGTAATTTTTAGGCTCAATTTAGTTAATAAATTTCTCTTAATTTTACCTTGAGTATCTTTAACAATCATATATAGTTTGAAATGCGAAACATTTTGTAAATCAGGCAATGAATGGAGATTATCACCAATAATAATATACGACAAAGATGGCATCATCAATTCACATAATTTCACCATGCAAGGAAGTGGTAAAACAATTCAACTACTTTGTATGGCATCTACATTCTCTGCAACAAAATTGGCGGTAATTCTTATGTCTTTTATATTTTTCTCCTTATTTTATGTTACAAGTATTTTGCTTTTGAAAAGGTACATTCTTAATCTAATTCCAATAATTGAGATGAATTAATATAATAAAAATATACACGAGTGATTCTTTAAGAAAATTGCATTGCATATTTCATAACCGTTGATTTATAGCTCTATTGGTCAGAGACCAGAAGAGCTTATGCAATAGTAAGGTCGTCCATGAATATCTGTCTGTATACAATTTATTCAAGATACTCTCCTTCCACATATATGGTCTGATTTCAATATAACTTTGAACTGAAGTAGACTACACAAAAGATACATAATTCTATTGATTGGATTTTGATTTTGATGAACAATGCTCAGTTGTCACCAAGGTTTCGGAAAACAGAAATTCCTGTAAAATACATTATAATATATAATAGTTTTAAAACTCCTTACTTTTTGGTATGATTTTAGTTTATTTTGGCACATAAGTAGCCTACAATAAGATTCATCATTCTGTAATATCAACTTTGATTTCAATAAATAGTGTTGCCACAGTTACTAAAAATAGAATTTTCTGTAAAAGTCTTCTTAAAGGCTTCTCCGTTTACAGTTTTAGTCTGATGACAATCTCTCCATGAAAAGGGAGTACTTTACTGATGTTGTTTATTGCTGTTACAAAGATTTCAAGTCCACTTGCTACTTTTCTCTTCCTTTTGTTTTATTAAGTACAAACCAGTAGAGCTTCATGTACATTCTCGACAGAGACTTCTGTTTATTATTAGGTATTGAACTGGTGTGTCAGAAAGAATGACCAAGTCATCTGGAACAAAATAGTTCTTCAAGAAGAGGAAATAAGCTTCTGGAAACAATTCCGGAGAATCAGTAAAATTCAGCAGGATAATCTACCATATAAAACAATATGACAGAGCAGTCCATTTCCGTTGTGAAGTTTCTAAATCTTCCTTGAACGCATGTGGATCTGGGCTGAGTTTCGTTAATGTGACAATATCGAAGAAAAAGGTATATTTTAAAAATCTATAAGCGTTTTTTTTTTACTTAAATGCTTGTAAAAGATTATTATTCTGATACAGTTTATAAAATACCAATTTTCGCAAAACAATCTATTTTGCCGTGCCGTGCACTGTAAATGTATTTTTAAAACTAGATGAAATCCTGGTCAATCGAGGGTGAAATTTACTGTAGACTGAACAATCTCAAAAGGGATCCTTTGTTATGGTTTCTACATGAGACTGTATCTAGAAAAAACGGAAATGTGCTGAATTAATCACAGCATCAGTAAAATTTGAAAATTTAAAATGCAAAATTTATATTTCATATAAAATTTACATGCAGGCATTCCATTATGTTGTACAGGTCGATATTTTCTCTTCACATCATTGTCACCTTGGTACATGAAGAGGATATAAATATTTGAGAAAATCATGAAAATACCCAACTTTTTGTCTGATTGAATTTGCAGATTTTACGATGTGTTCATGCTCTGATTTACACAAAGATGTGATGTTATTCAATGGCGGGGGGGGGGGGGGTTTTTTTTTCCTCTCTACTAAGTTTGCATTTTATAAATATTAGTTACTATATAATAGTATATTACTAAATAAAAAGTACTCTACCTCATATATGTTGAGGCTGCCGTGTTGCGCTTAGTTATTCATTTTATGTATAATTTTTTATGCGACTTATTTGAAGACTTTCAATATCAAATGAGCATTCAGTATTCAAAGTGTTTTTTTTTGTTATTGCCTTTCTATTTTCCCATGCCCGTGCCATGTGCTTTAAATTATATGAATATATGTTAAAAAAAGACATGTCGACGGAGGACAACAGTGATAAAGCGTCTGCACTAGAGGCGTGGAGTAAGGAGTTGATCTTACATCGCGGTGTTGAATCTCACTATAGGACGTGGAGACATGTCCTTCGGATGAGATCGTATAAACCAAGCTCCATGTTGTAGTAGATGCTGGAACGAAAAAATCTTTCACTGCTCAATGGACCCCAGTGCCAAGTACTGTATACTCAAAAATTGTAGCTTTCCACTGGCAAGCAGTGGCGTCTTCATATGAGTGAAAACAGTTTTAGATTGAAGTTAAACAAAAAACAAACAAACAATCATTTAGCAGTTTACTTGAGTTAGAGGAAGATGCTTTTCGCGAAAGGCATTAAATGAAATAAACATCTAATTGTAGGACGATTACAGTATATTTCGCTAAAAGCAATCATTTTTTATAGTGGTATTATATATAATGATATAATAGTAATCATTATCACAATCATTTTTTCTTTAAAGAAAAAACTCCACCTGCTACTGAGAACCAGAAATCTATTACTGCTGGTACCACAGTATTGTCACTGACCTCAACTGAACACCAAATATCCAGTACTGTAACAGTCTATTGAGATCAGTTCACTTTGTAATTTTAAATAAGCAAAAGTATCATAATTAGCGTCAAAGAAAATGATGTTCTGAACTTTTTAATATTGGAGTGCACAACAGCTAGAAGTTCAAGTTCAATTCATTCACTCAAACCAATAAATAGTACATGAGGTTTTACAATGTTTGTACAATATATACAAAAAACAATGTACAAGACACACGTGAAATACATTCATATTATGAGGTAACAAAAAAAAGTTATGGAGGACAGACTTTTTCGTATACTCTGTTTATATAACTGCATAGTTTAATTAATACTTTCGAGAAAGCAGATGGTATTTTGACAGTTTGAAAAAAGGTCTATTACAGTATTTACTAGGTAGATAATTTTTCTGCATTCTGAAAAAAAAATGACATACTAAAATGTAGTGATATTCATCAGAAATTTGTTCATTATTACACAGAATACATAATCTATCATGTTTGAGAATTCCAAACCATTTCCGAGTCTCTACTGGGAGACGATAATCTGCTGTTCTTAATTCAATTAAAATTGTTCTATATTTTATAGGTAGTTAGTCTAAATATTTTTCAAATCAAAATTCTGTTTTGAAGATACTATACATTAGACCTTTAAACGAAACGCGCATATTACTTCGCCACTTCTGTATATACTGATCTTTAAGACGTTGTTCAACTTTACAGCTTTTAGCCATTTAATATTTAAAAATCCTCGTTCATTCCATATAATTGAGAAGCCTTAACTATCAAGTATATTCTTTATGCATTAAATCCAAGGGTTCTAATGACTTCCTGAACCAAACTGTTTAAATAAATGTTTATATGGAACATAAACAATCTTATTTTCAGGGCTTACCAATAATTGTGCCCAAAAGGATAGCATTCTTACATGTACATAAACCGTTATATACAAAGTGAAGCGACCCGTTTCGCCATAGACTATATATCCACGAGGACTACTTTTTAAATTAAAAATGAATTAAAAAAATTTAAGATGAACTTATCAGGTCCAGTACAATTCTTGATTTAGCTATATAGTTTTAAATAGCTGTATAGCTTTATTAAGCTATTCAGTATAGCTTAATTTAGCTATTTTACTCCATTTTTTTCTTAAAAGTGTAATTTTCTCAGTATGTACATAAAGCGCACCTTGGTGCAGTGGTGATATACAACTTTGAACTCTTCTTAAAGCACTGCATGTAAAAATCACTCATCAAATTAAGTCTCCTTGAGAGACTTTGTACTCAAAGTTCTACAAGTTTTGGGGCTAAATAAAGCAATTGATAAAGTTACTTCTGCAATGATATTATAATGGAGACCAATTATGTTCAACAAGATAATTGATTGGTAACAGTTTAGCACAATGAGAAGCAATCATACTTATCCTTGCCTCAAGGCACCTAAGATAGTGGACAGTTAGTCAAACAATAGAAATTCTCTTTTTGCTTAAAAGTATTCAAAAGCTGCAAAGTTAGAACTATATTTGATTTTGGTTGTTGTTTTGATAGCCCATAGTACAAATATGGAGAAATTAAATACATGGGACTTCTTGTTTATTTTCAGCAAAAAACTTTTTTGTGAAAAACTTTATATAAATAGCTAAATAAAGCTATTTTGAATAGCTTAATACAGCTATATAGCTTTTTAAAGCTATATAGCTAAATAAGAGATTGTACTGGACCTGCTTATTTGTAATTATATCAATGTTCTCAAAACCCCATATCCAATCCATACAAAAATAACAGAGTGACATCTTTATCGAACAAATCAAGCTAACAATCAACTGGTAAAAATTGTCTTATTTTTCGTATATCTCCATAATGGCTTTTTAAGCTTGCTCACATAAATTGTTTAATCTCTCAGAATGAACCCGTTCTTGAAAATAGTAGAAGAAAAAAGAATGCATAACTTGTAAAAGCCAGAAGAAAACAAAAACGTTATTGACAACAGTATTAGAAAACATAAAGCTGACCTGAAACATCTTTGTGAAAAAGCCCCAAAAGCAATGCAAAGTGGTCTCAAAAAAATTAACAATTGAACTTCGATAATTCCTGTCGCATTTTAAAGCTGACTGAACTCTTAAAAAGGCATCAGTTTTCATCTTTGTCGACTTATTACATTCCTGTACCCCCTTTGTCCGACATATTTGTTCGATTCCGCCATATTTGATCGAAGATTTTGGCCACCTGCACCTGCTATATATAGCCTTGACGAATTGTTTCACTTGAGTGATTTTTTAGTCTGGCTGTCGACATGTACACATCTCCGATAGTATATTTTTTAAAAGTCCATAAACGACCAATACATGTTTGAAAAGTAAAAATTCAACAAAAAATAGAATTTAAAGAATTAAATTATTTTTGAATGCATTTGCTGCAATATAAAAAGTACATTAACACGGAATACATTTATGTACAGCAAAAATCCGTGCAGGTCGAAAACGCGTCAAATGCAGTGATAAAACATTTACCTGAATACTGCTATCGTTACAGGGATGTGCACATGTGAAAAATTATCCTATACTAAAAAAGCATCTCAGAAGTCATGTAATCCATTGCTAACTCAAAAGTAAAAGATGCTTGGATACACGTGGCACATGCCGATCATTTTATTTGGTAGGGAAAATATCAAAGGTTGAAAGCTCATTGGGGTTGATTAAATTTTTTTTTTTCAAAAATAAAGATTGCTCTTGTTTGTAAATGTAGTAAATAAAAATTATAATTACACATGGTTTAACTCCATTAAATTTATAAAAAACATCATGATTACGAATCATTCGCAACTTTTGAAGACATTTTCCTATGATGGGGGGGGGGGGAAATAAAACATGCTTATTAACACTCTCATAAAAATAATTTATGAAAAACGTCTGAAACAGATTAATTTTTATCAAATAAAAACTGTTTATAGGCTTTATTAGACCTAATATAATTTGATTTAGTTATTTATAATTTTATGCACAATGAAAGGAAAAAAGTGAGCAAGTTCACATACCCCACGCTCCCCCATAAGTCGAAGTGCTGAAATTCCCAGAAAAAAATAAAAGAATCGTAATTTCCATTACATGAAATATGCTCATCTATACACATTGTGTCCTAAATATCTGCAAAGTTTGACGAAATTGGTGCAGCGATTTATGAGGAATTGCGCTGACAAATTGCTCATCTCTATATTCAAGATATGGCCAAAATCTAAATGTAAAAGTGCAGAAATTCCCAAAAAATTAAGCATTCGGAATTTTCCGGTGATTTGCAAATCTACACACACATTGTCTCCTATAAATATCTGAAAGTTTGACAAAACTCTGTGCAGTGGTTTATGAGAAGTTGCGCTAATCAAAAACAAAAAAAACTGACTGAGGGGTAAAAACATTATACCTCACGCAACTTATTGCGAGGGGTATAATAAATGAGTTTGATTCTGTGGTGCAATGATAATGAAAATAAAATTTAATGTGAATTAAATTTCTAGACATAAATAATTAATGATTATTAGAAAAAGCATATAGGAAGAGAGAGCAAACTCCCCATAGAATTCCACAATCTACCTACGATTAGCTTTTTACAAATTTCTTTTTTTTTTTTTCCAGGTCCAGGTTCGACACGTACGTTTGAGAATGTATTTGAGAAAGTTCCCAATGTTCCCATTCCTGTGATGTATATTTCACGTTTATTATATCCCCCGCTTGAAAAATGGGAGGGTATATAGTAACCGTTATGTCCGTCCGTCTGTCCGGGGGTCTGTCTCATACCGTTGGGGGACCCTCTTATCTGCAAATCATCTTGTACCTCTTGGGGAATTTTAATGAAACTTTCACAGAATCTTTGGTTTAATACATATTACTTTTCAGGGGTTTAGGTTCTGCGACCTAACTTACACTATGGAAATGTTAATTGAAGGTGTGGTTTTGTTTTGTTTTTTTGCTTATCCACTTTTTCAGGTAATGAAAAAAAATAAAATTCTCTGCCTGGCTAACACTTTAAATTAGGTGCTACGTGCCTGCTTTTTGATTTGACACATATTTTGGGTTTAGGACAACAGCAAAATTGGACTTTGCCATTATAATCATATGGGAGGCGGGGTATCATTTAGTGAGCTCATTGCTCACAATACCTCTAGTTTCTATTTCAATTTGGGCGTGTGGGTTAATTTCTTGTCCAAATTAAAATTATTATTCAATTTATGAAGTTTCGACATCCCGCCTGAGAAAAATCCTTAATCAGTTCTAAGGCTTAATAAATGGTACAGCACAAAGTGCATAGGATCTTTAAAACCCATTATTGCCCTAACGGATAGGAGAGGGAAAAGAGAGAGAGAGAGTTCAAAATACAAAAGAGTAAATAAAAATTATCCGTATTCAACCAGTGTCAAGTATCCCTACCCTAGCTCTTAAAATTATCTCTCAAATACTTCTGAAGAAATTATTTTTATACAAAAAAATAGCTAGACTATAAGCAGGAGTACTGAAATCTAAAAAAACTCTCTGTAACAACATAATACAGTTACATTCCTCAAAATGCACAACTTTGTGGTCGGAGTGACCCATTAAAAAAAATTCAAAATTGAATTCGGCAGAAATGTTTTTCCCAAAAATATTTAAATAACGGTCATGTCAATTATTTTTGCGTGCCCCCCCCCGCGCCTAAAAAAATCAAATGCCTAAATTGAATCTGAACAGGGGATGGCTTTTTTCCGGGGTGTGTGTGTTAAAGAACGTATAAGTACACATAAAAATTTCTTGGTTTAGATTGGAGATTAGTACTAAAACAATCAGTTATAATTGACAAATGAATTTTCCCATGCAAACCAACTGCAGACTATACACATGAATTTGTATAGAATGTATATTAGAACTACATGTAGATAGACAATTCACAATTATAGCTTATGAACAGCAGTTATAATACTTTACCCCCCCCCCCTTTTCAGCCGCGCAAATACCAAATAACTTCTCTTTCCATGCACTTGTGATATTTTCCCTGACCAAAATGTGATCAGCACGGACTAAGTGTATCGACTGTACGGAGTAACGACAGTGTGATTACTATTGAGCTTTTATGGAGTTTATTTCTTTTTTGTGTTGCATATTTCAATAAATGGGAATAAAGGTGTATATCACTTGACTTGAGCATATTTCGAACCGATGCAGTAACCTTATTTCCAGGTATGGGTATGTTTACAGCGTTCGAGGCGTTTTTCAATATGCATCAATTGCATCTTTAGGACCTGCAAATCAAAGACGTAGGTTGTTTTGTTCCATTCAAATATATAATTTCAAAATATGTTTGCAGATTTTACTGCTTTTTTTTTCAAGTTTATTCTGCATAAATTTGCGCACTGTAAAAAACGTACACATGCGTCTAAATTTCTCTTCCAAACTTGCATTTTTTCCTTTTGATTCAAATCAATAATTATTCAGAAATATGATTATTATGTTGTTTGTTGTGGTTTTGAAATGTCTTGATCACCTAATGTGTTTCATGTTTTTACCATCGGAGATGTGCCCAAATCATACCCCAAACCAAAAAATCATTAAGTGTAACGACCGCATTGGGGTATATATCGACGTTACAAAGAGACAATGTATCTGAAAGAAATATGGCGGAATACGGCTATAGTTGGTATGAAACAAGTCGTACATAGATGAAAATGTTGCGTTTTTAAAATTCTGCAGCTTTAATTATTTGTTCGATAAAATGGTTTCACCAGGTTACTTATGGCTGTGGAATCTAAGTTTTGATAAAAATGTCATTTTTCGACCCCCATTTGACCCCCCGGGGCAAAATCAAAATACCGAAACCTTACTGCACATCTACATGACACCACCAACCATCTCCCAAAAGATGATTTGGTTGCTGAGTAAAATGTAGAAGGAGTTCAGGGAAGACGGCTTATAACATAAAAAACGTCATTTTTCGACCCCCATTTGACCCCCGGGGTAAAATCAAAATTCTGAAACCTTACTGCACATCTACATGACACCACCAACCATCTCCCAAAAGATGATTAGGCTGCTGAGTAAAATGTAGAAGGAGTTCAGGGAAGACGGGGCTTTTAGCATAAAAAACATCATTTTTCGACCCCCATTTGATCCCCCGGGGCAAAATCAAAATTACGAAACATAACACCACATCTACAAGACACCACCAACCAAAACCCAAAAGATGATTAAGCTACTGTGTAAAATGTAGGAGGAGTTCAGGGAAGAAAAGTGTGACAGACGGACGGACGGACATGAGTAACAACAATATACCCGAACTTTCTTTTAGAAAGTGCGGGTATAATTACATATATTGTACACAAGGTTTTTTTTTGTCACATTAGGCCTACCTGTTGCTAGCTTGGTGTTTACATCAAAAATCTTGGGTCCCGTATTGGTATCTCCTTTCCCACTATGTGTCTTGTCCATCGCCACACGTATAAACTCGGAACATGACCAGCATTTAACTATTAATTGGCCATTAACTCCCGCAGGTAAAACTCTCACCGCGTCCTCCAACAAAACATTTCTTGCGCAAACTGTACATTTCATATTTGTACAGAAAGTATGTAAATCAATAACAAAACGTGATGAGTTCAATGGTTTCAATTTGCCAGAAAAAAAGTTCATTTATATCATCAAATGCATCTTGAGATAGTTTCCCAACATCGGGAGGCTGTAAAGTGCTCTGATAAGAATGGTCAAGGTATAAAGCGCTGCCAGCAGCTGGTGTAAAAGAGTCATTTTGCAAAGAAATGGACTTCTGTGAATTACTTATTCGTTTCCTACGATGTTCCGTCATTGACTTCTTGGTGAAACGCCCCGTGCCATCTCAAGTACGAGTCATACTTGAAATTTTTACCGCTTCACCGTTCCCAGTCTTCTGCTAGGAACGTCAATACCGCAAACTGGTCGAGCTGTCATTTATGTCGTAAAATACATTCAGCGATAAAATTGAAATTTATCACTTGCATATGATATGTACTACTAATATGCGTTTCTATAATGTTAATTCTGGATTTAGAAAAATAAAAACTAAAGACTGATACTACCTCACACGAACGACTACATGAAAATGCAAAGCTGCGCGAAAACATGCGCAAAGCGCGAAAACTCGAATTAGACTCGGTCTCGTTAAATGTTTTAAACATTTAGTACGTGTATCAGAGATTTTTACTTAGTACTATATCTGCCAAAATTCAAAATACCAGATCCCAAAAATAATTCGGTGTGGGAATTACCAACATTTTTGGGTAAAGGAAAGTTTAAATTGTTAAAATAATTCTTTTATTACTTCATACATAATAAAATAACTAAACTGAGAATAGAATTTCATTTTTTTGAATTTGTTTTGCTTTTTTTTGATTTCTAAAGGATCAAGCAAAGGAATGGAGCCAGATATGGCTTGCTGTATCATCCAGAAAATGGAAGACAAGGGTCATGAAATTGGAACACTACATGCCGACAACGATACAACAACGCAGTCCAGATTACCTTCTACAATCATCAAGAAAAATGACAAATCGCACGTCAAAAAAAATCTGGCTTCCTCTCTCTACAGTCTTTCCAAAAAACATAAACAGCTCAAGTCTACAGGAGTAATTCCGTACATTGTAAGATGTTTTATGTACACCATTTCCAAACATCAGGGCTTCAAGGAAACTCTGGGAGCTGAGTTGGCAACAGTTGTTCCTCACATATTTGGAGACCACAATCAGTGTTCCTCATCATGGTGTACTTATAACAAGGACCCAACCAAGTTCAGGTACTGTTGTATTAACTTAAAACAACATGGTTTTATTGTGAGGTAATTGAAAATTTGCGTTGGGAGGGGGGATAATATTGTTTGCCCTGTCTGTCCATGTACATGTATCTGTCTTGTCTTTTTGCATGCAAAAACTTGAACCTTGCCCATAATTTTTAATTGGTTGGTGCTCATTATATCACATGTATACTTCTTGTGACAAGACTATCATATTTGACCTTGACCTTTGATTTTTACCCAGTTTTGCAAAACTTTCCCTGACTTTTACCTTAGCCATAAGTTGAACAGTTAGTGCTAGAGCTTTCATACTTCACATGTTTATTATTGTTTGAGGTTAACTGTAAAGTTTTACGTTACGTCACGATCTATTTGACATCTGCGTTCAAGGTAAATAGTACACGCCTCCTAACCGCAATCTTTATGACTGGAACTTTCTTCTTATCCCTGATTGGTTGCTCGTGCAACGGACTATTTCCGTGTTAATGTTGATAATATGAGTTGACCAATCACATGATTTGTTTTCTCTGGATGCATCAGGCGAAAAAGATTGTGACTTAAGGTAAAACTTTACAGTTAACTGTAAACAATAACAACCCTTGTGAGAAGACCTTTTTGGATACCAACAACATTGAACCTTTGACCTTGACTTTTGAGTTTGACCCACTTTTGAAAACTTTAACCTTGGCCATACCTTTTGAATACTTGTTTTAGGGCTTTCATATTTCACATTTTGTATTTCTTTTGAGAAGGCTTTTCCTAGAGCACCATTAATTTTGACCATTAGATTTTGATGTTTGACTATTTTGTAACCATTTCCATATCTTTTCAATGGTTGCCTCTAGGGCTTTCATATTTCACAGACATATTACTTCAAACAAGATTCTTAATTTGGATACCAACGTTAACATATTTCATTTGCTTTAGAGAAAGTTTGACCTTCTCTATAAGGTGCCATACAGGGGCATCATTGTTTCACAAACACATCTAATTTTTTTACTATCCATCAAATTTATCTGCACAGAAAAGGTGCATGTGAAATGATTGAATGAAACATGAAAATGAATTTTAGAATACACTGTAAAATGCAATAGATCTAAGATGAGTACTTATATGGTATGTGTTGCAGATACAAACATCTACCAGATGGAAAGGCACTTTCTGGGGACCATTTAAAAGAAGACCTGGAAAAACTGGCCAAAAGCTATATTGACAGAGCAGATAGACTTATGAACCTTGGCTCAACTCAAGCTAACGAAAGCTTTAACAACAGTGTGGCTAGCTTTGCTCCCAAAAACAGGTATATTGTAAGAAAGAAAAATGCTATTTTTCTATGTAAATAAAAAATTCAAGTATACTGTAGAACAAGTTATGCCACAAAAGTTTTCAAGAAAATTGTTTCTCACTTTAAATACTGTAAATTACTTATTTTTGGTGAGTACTTATCATCGCAAAATGGCTCTTCAACATCAAATCACAAGAATAATTACTCTCGAATGAATAGTCGATGAAGAGAATTTACATGGATAATAGCATCATAAATAATAAAAGCCAGTAATATTATTTAGTGGGTGATGCTTCTCGCGAAGTTATGTGATAATCAATTTCTCTCGTATAATTAGGAATCTACAGTACAGAACTGTTAAATAGGAGCACTGTATAAATGTAAATATTATGCATACATTATTGCATCTTTTGTTAAGGTTTTATGGTGGAACCAAATCTTTAAAAGCAAGAATATCCTCTGCTGTTATGCTGAAGAATGAAGGGAGTGGTTGGTTAAGTAAGGCAAGTATAAACATAAAAATACTGACATATTTTAGAGATATAAAATACCAAATTCTCTATCCTTGTATAAATATAAAATGTTCCCCATAAATTTCTTCCAGAAGGTAAAGTGCATGGACTAAAGAGGCTTCGCTGTAATTGAATGATACGTACAATGTACAAACTTGATGTGTGGAGAAGGAGTACTTACTACTTGTACTGCTATATCTTTTTGAAGTTACCTCTGTCAATAACATTTCATTTTTTACAGGTCAATGAGAATATTTTGCTTTCTCCAGGGCAGATGACTAAATTACATGGTTTACGACGAGACAAAATCAGAAAAAGGGTTAGAGATATGAAGCGTACAGTGGCGTTTAAGAGAAAGCGTATTTCACTCAAGGTATTTAAAAATTCAGTCTATTTGTTAAAATGTTAAAACAGCTCTGCCTTTCATTTTGAATGTAAGCTAACTTAAAACAAAGGTTTTTATATACTAGTATTAATAATTATGACTCTCAGATGCACATACACAACCCATACACAACCTCACCCCTCACCACCGTACAGAGAGAGAGGGGGGGGCACCGCTTAAATACAGCTGTTTAAATGTTAGTTTTTAATTTTACTTTTTAAAGAATAAAAATGTGCGCTGTGATCGAAGAGAAGCTGTGAAGGAGGGAGATACATATGGCAATGAAATTGAACTCCAAGAAGATGCTGATATTGAAACTATTTTATCAAAGATAAAGCTCAGTGGAGAGGAAACTGTAGTTGTGTTTGATTTAGAAACAACAGGTAGAATAGTTTTTGAATAGTTTGAAAATTGTGCGACATTTGAATTCAACTTTAGAACCTGAAGATATGGATTTTGGCATTTATTAGGTCACCTTCAGGTAAAACCTATTGCTAATCGTCGTCCGTCGTGTGAGAGAGAACATTTTAGCTTCTGTCTCTGAAACCACTCAACCAATTTCAATCAAATTTCATATACAGCATCTATTGGAACATTTAAAATTAATGAAATCTTTAAAAATCTTCTTCCTTGTTATCATGCAAACTGTTAGCATGAATGTAATGACCATTGTAATAAAAATTGTTAAAAACTGTAATAGAAAATGGATGTAATCCTGGGTATTAAATAAATATGACTAAGAAACACGATACATAGTTATGATGAAAGAGTGACTATTCAAAATTGTGTGTGAAAAGGTTCTACAAAAAAATCTTTTTCATCATAAATTATATTGTGAAAATGCATTATTTTTTATTCTCTGCTCCTGGGTATTAAATTAACTAAATAAGTACATAACTTTTATGAAATTTAGCAAGAAAAAGTGCCTCTTCAAAATTGTGAATTATCATGGCTCCAAACAGTTTCCTTTTTGGTGGGGTGCACAACTGTTTATAAAGAGAGAGATCTACCTCTGGGTAATAAGTAAATAGAGTATGCTAAGTTTATAATTTATGGTGCCCTTTCAAAATTGTGAATTTTATGTGTTTAAAACAGTCTGTTTATCATGCAATAGTGAGTACATATGAAAAGTGATTTTTACAATGAAATCTAATAAATTTTGTCACACTGTTTTACCCTTGTGTGACTGTCTGTATATGTCTGTCCAATAAATTTTCTCACAGTTTTCTCAGCAACTTTTCTATCTAGAGGTTTGAAATTTAAGCACACTCTTTGATTTGGCATGTCATATGGTGAACAGGGATTACTTTCAGTACAACAGTATGTCAACTTCCTGTTTATATGTGCATCTATCAGTTCCAAATTTCCTTCACAATTTTCTCAACAACTACCACTGAAAGAAGCTTGAAATTTAAGGACACTCTTTTGTTAAGACTTCCTTTTTAGTGGGATTCATTTTTATTTCACAAATTAGACATCATATTCCTGTTTATCCGTGCATCTGTCTGCAAATTCATATCACAGTGGGGGTTTTACTTGTGAGATTGGCTCAGACTTTTTGATTATTTCCTGAATATGATGTAGGGCTTTCTGTCCATCTGAAAACTTTATGTGTTAAAAATGCATCATATGTGTATATAGAATTTTACATTTATATACATTTTATGCCAAAGAAGATGTTAAAATTGTAAGGTTCTATACATGTACTGTTTGCCTGTCAACATCTTTTTAAATGTCCTATTTATTTCTGTTATAGGTTTACCAAGGCGATCTGACATAAGGGCAAGGATCAGCTGTTTGTAAATAATAACGGCCGTCACTTTTGAAATTGAAATAAACAAGAGTATAATTTTTTTTATGATTCATAAAGTTGTATTTATAATTTTGTAATATGAAAGAGAAACAATAAACAATTAAATCTTTTTATTTTAAGAAATAAAATTATTATTACCGAATTTGTATAAAATTGTCCAACTTTTGCGCATGCTTATAAGAGATTTTCCAACCTATGTGTCAAAAATGCAATTTTTAAAAATACCTTTTATTAACACATTTTTATATACAACTATTCTAAAAGATGGATGTTTACCTTACAATTCTTATATATATATGCTTATCAGATCCCGAGAAAAACAGCTTTGAAATTGAATAACGGACGTTACGAGTGTCGGTCAACATGATGGGTTAACTTCAAACATTGAAATTAATGTAATTGTATTAAAAATACACGAATATTTTATATTTAGCTTTAACTTTTAAGCATACTCAACGGATTCTTTTCAATGACGTTTGTGTAAGAGGATTAAAATAATAAATTTTCACACATTTATCGAAGGTGCACAGGTGTCGGTCAAATTCGTATCGTCCGTAATTTGGGTCGTAAAATGGCTTTTACATGCGGAATATAGAATCACTTCGGTTTTTTCTACTAGTTTTACCACACATTTGCAGTAAACGTCATGAAAAGCGACCGTGATACGTAAAATGGAGGCAAAGTGGGTGAGTTTGTATTGTCGGTCAATAACTTCTTAGTAGATAACAGACGTCACGCTAATTACTGAATTAGATTCATATAAAATTTAATGATAAAATGGACAAGCCATGTTCTCCAATGTGTTAAAATCTATAATAGTTACTGTTTGACACAAAAGTTTAAGTATTTTTCAAGAACTATTACGATCATAGAGGTCATTTGGTGTTCGGCAGTTAAATTTTGACTGACATAAAATATACGGATGCGACAAGTTGACACATAACAATGTCAAACCATAACTGCTGAAGCACAGTGATTCGATTATGTTACGTAGAAATTTTGTGGACATATTTTTTTTTCAATAAGATAGAGAGAAAATATAATATTTACCAATGCTTATCTGTTGAAGTCGCATTTTTTTCCTGTCTTCGTACATTATTAACATAACAATATTTGGCTGTTACATGTTGACAAGAAATTGAAAAACGGATATGACATGTTGACACCTTTTCTGGTCAAATAATAACTTCTATACGCAGTATGATAATATGATCATGAAATGTGGAGTATTTGTTTATATTTTAAGGTAATTAGCAGAAGTATATACTTTAAACTAAATATCAGATTCTAAATCTATCTATTTTTAATATCATATGAGGAAAAATAATCTCATGATTGGATGTTACAAGTTGACATGTTATATTGATTGGATGTGACACATTGACTCTTTTGTCTAATACAATTTTCAAATGATCTTGAAGGAATTTTCTGACACACACGTTGTACATTATTTTTTCTAAAAAGTAAAAACTAAATAAAAAGCAGTTCAGTATTTTTTCATGAATTCATAAGATATAATTTTGAAAATATTATTCTTTTAATTTACAATCATACAGAGTCTAAGAAAGAGAAAATCAAAAAACATTGAGCCTTTAAAAGAAAAGACTACCAATGCAGAGACAGAGCTAAAAGGTACAAATTCATTAACTGCATATATCTTTTTCTACAATATTGTAAACTGTACACACATAATTTTTGACTTGCTTGAGAAAATAAATCCAGTTACACACTTGTTAGTGAAAAAAACTGAAAATTAATCAAGTTCCATTTGAAATAAAATGCACATGTGTATTGAAACATATCTCGTATCAGGTATAGAGAACATTTAAAGAAAGATAGTAAGAAATATAAAGAGTACCAAGAAAAAGAAAGAGAAAGAAAGAAGTTAGCATGGAGGAAAAGAACAGAGGAAAAGAAAGAAGCAGATCGCACTAAAGCTAGAGAGAGACAAAAGAGGTTATTTTTTTCTTCAAATATACAATTCTGTAAATGAAAACAGATGAAATTAATCAGCTGGATATTCATAAAAAGTTTTATTATGTACTTGTTAAATATTGAAAATTTGAAGTTGCATTGGGAAATGACATTTTCAAATTGAAATGAAGAACAAAGGATTTTCTGTTAATTCGCAGGTTTCGGGAACGCCAGAAGGAGATGGGAATAAAAACTATGTCCAATACCACATCAACAAAAGTCCTGACTAGAACTGAAAGGGAAAAACAACGAATGTATTGGCGCTTAAAGAAAAGGGAATCAAGAGAAAGACAAAACAGTCAAAAAAAGAGAAGATTAAAAGAAAGAGACCGCGATTATCGTCAAAAAAAAAAGAGAAACCCAGAATCAGGACCAAAGAGGAGAAAACAACACCACATACCGAAGGATAAAGAGCACTATGCAGACATGGTAGAAAATATATTGGAGAATGCAACTCCTAAAAAGAAAGAAGCTCTGGCAAAGAGAAATTTATTTGCAAACAGTCCACTCTCAAGTAAAAAATTAAAATTAATGGATCATTCATTCCATGTAATCAAGAAGATTGTCAGAGAAAACAAGAAAGTGAAAAAAACGATCCTGCATAACCTCTCATTTCTTAAGAAATACAGACTGAACAGATTATTATCGAAATACATAGGAGTCAAAGAATCTGAATTTACTAGGAGAGAGAAAGACTTGCAAGAGAGGAAAAGAAGATCTGATGCAGTTTCAAATAGTGCAAAAAGAAGGATTTAACACTTTTACACAAGACCTGATATCTCTACAAATTTACCAACATCTAAGAGAATCAAGAAAGATTTGAGCGAAAGAAGAATTCTGGACAGGCCAATCAAACAAACTTTCGCCGAGTTTAAAGAGCTGAACCCCGCAGCACAACCAGTAAGTTTGTAAACTTTTAAACGTAACAAGCCAAGAAATGTTGAATCAACCAGAAAACAGACATGGTATGGATGTCTTTGCGAAGTATGTACAAATGTTGAGCAGAAGTTGAGATCTCTTAGACAATTTGCTGCAAAGAATGGATCAAACATCAGTATAAAAGACAAGTATGAAGCAGTCTCTTTAACATTATGTGGTAAAGGTTCCAACACATTCCATGACTACAGATGCTTAAAAAGAGAATGTGGGGAATGTGGTGTTTTTTCAGTATTTTGAAAATCTTGCAAAAAATACTACCCAAGAATCTGCAAGATATACAAAATGGGAGCGAGTTAAGAAACTGTACAAGGGAAAAGAAATCACGCAAAATTCAACCTGTTACCCACTGTGAATCCTTAACAAAAGTCATTACAGAGTTGTCGGAAGAACTACAAAGCCTCTCTGAACTTATTTTCATTGCTGCTTGGCAACAAAGTCAATTTTCAAATCTACAAAATAAAGTTCCAAAAGATTGGATAATTCTAAATATGGATTTTTCAGAGAATTACTCATATATAGCCCAACACGAAGTTCAGAGTGCACACTGGGGCCACCAACAGGCCACAGTTCACCCAACAGTGGCATTTTATCAATGCCAGGATTACAACTGTGAGGAAACAGTAATTGAATCCCTTGTTTTCATTTCAAATGATTTGAACCACAATGCACATTCTGTGCAAAGATTTGTTATAGAAGCTGAAAAACATCTTACAAGGAATCGGGGACTTACGATTAAAAAGATGATCCAAATGACCGATGGCTGTGCAGCACAATAGAAATCAAAGACCCCATTTACGGACATCTCGTATAGTTTGGAAGACTTTGGACACCCTACAGAACGCCACTTTTATGGCTCTAGACATGGAAAGGGTCCCTCTGATTGGGCAGGTGCTGTAGTTAAAAGTGCTGCAAGGAGAGCCGTAAATGGACAGAATATAGTCATAAATAATGCAAAAGATCTTTACCAATTTGCTTGTGAGAAGCTCACCAAAGATGAGAAACATTCGAAAAGAACCATCTTCTATGTGGATGACATAAACCACAATAGACCAGAAAGAAGCCAATCAAAGACTTTAATGGGTACGCGTAAACTACAGTGTGTCAGAAGCATTGAAAGAAACAAAATAGCTACAAGAAACTTGAGTTGTTTTTGTGACAACTGTGTGAATGATGGTACAAACTGTATAAACAAAGATTATGTTGGTCCTTGGATAATCCAAAGTATGCAGCAAGTAGGGTAAGTTTGTTTTCAAAGATTAAATATTCAAAACAGCTAATGTGAAAAACTGTTTTATAATCATTTTATATGCTTTAACGTTGCCACGTTGAAACCTTTTTTATGTTGGAATCCCAAACTATGAAATTCTGCTTTTAGTGAAGGGCGATTTAGACACAGAAACATAAACAGAATAGGGAGAACAAGAAGAGGAAGAGGAGAGGGACATTGCGCCAGAACCAGAAATGAAGAACCAGATTTAGGAGACATCAATAGGGATGCAGAAATAGGGATCCAGAATCAGGGGACTGCTCCTAGGGTCAGAGTAGTTGGTCCACAGGTGAGGGGAAGTGGTCTTAGGGTCAGAGGAGGTGGTTTCAGGGTCAGAGGAGGTGGTCCCAGGGTCAGGGGAGGTGATCCCACAGTCAGGAGAGGTGGGCCTAGGGTCAGAGGAGGTGCTCCAAGACTCAGGGGAGGTATACAAAGGCAAAGAGCAAGTTCTTCAGAAGGTATCTCTACTGTTCAGAATGCATAATATATGTGTAATGAAATTCTCAAATCAGATGTGATTTTGTTTTGTTTTGTTTTTTAAATAGAATTTTATTCATTTGTGTTTTGTTTCAGTTTTGATAGCATTATAATTCTTTTTTTTAGCTCACCTGAGCCGAAGGCTCAACTGAGCTTTTCTGATCAAAATTTGTCCGTTGTCGTTGTAGTCGTTGTCGTTGTTGTCGTCGTCGTCATAAACTTTTCACATTTTCATCTTCTTCTCAAGAACCACTCGGCCAATTTCAACCAAACTTGCCACAAAGTATCCTTGGGTGAAGGGAATTCACGTTTGTTCAAATGAAGGGCCACGCCCTTTTCCAAGGGGAGATAATCATGAATTAGAGAAAAATTAGTGGCATTTTAAAAAAATCTTCTTAAGAACCACTGGGCTAGGAAAGATGAAACTCATGTGGAATCATCCTCAGGTAGTGTAGAATCAAGTTTGTTCAAAACATGACCCCCGGGGTAGGGTGGGACCAAAATGGCGGATCAAAGTTTTACATAGGAATATATAGGAAAAATCTTTAAAAATCTTCTTCTCAAGAACCACTGGGCCAGGAAAGATGAAACTAATGTGGAAACATCCCCAGGTAGTGTAGATTCAAGTTTGTTCAAATCATGACCCCCGGGGGTAGGGTGGGGCCAAAATGGCCGATCAAAGTTTTACATAGGAATATATTGGAAAAATCTTCTCAAGAACCATTGAGACAGGAAAGATGAAACCCCTGTGGAATCATCCTCAGGTAGTGTAGATTCAAGTTTGTTCAAATCATGACCCCCGGGGGTAGGGTGGGGCAAAATGGCCGATAAAAGTTTTACATAGGAATATAGAGGAAAACCTTTTAAAATCTTCTTTTCAGGTACTTCAAAGCCATGCTTAGTGATATTTTTAGGGAATCATCCTCAGGTAGTGTTCAAATCATTACCCCCTGGGGGGTTAAAATTCAAGCCCCCCCCCCCCCCCCCCCTCAGTAAACTTTCAGTTCTGATCTGATATGTGCTTTTTCCTAGCCAATTGCTCAGGTGAGCGATATGGCTCCTGGGCCTCTTGTTAAATTTGTTTTGCAGAGTCAAATGATAGTAGCCAGATAATGTTTGAAGAAAATGAGCTTGAAGGAGACATGTATGTGTCAAAATCTATTAAGCGGTATCTTTTCAAATTTATTAAAAAAATATGCAAAATTTCAAACAAAGTGAAAAATAAAATCTTTTTTTTTGTGTATTGCAGCTCAGCAGATGGATTGGACATAAGTGCACTTTTGATGCTACTGTAAGTAAAGTTATCATAAAAATGCTTGATTTGTACAGAACGGGGAAAAAATTTTTGAAAATTTTAAATATTTATATTTAGGGATATGCCAGAGCAATTGGAATTTGAGAAGGAGAAGAGTGTTAGAAAAAGAGATGCGACTGCACTTTCAGAAGAGCTGGATGCAGAAAGACGGAAGGAGGTTGTGATATTGGAGGAGTCTGATGCAATAACAAGGGCAGTGGACCCACTAATGGAGGAGGTGTATGCAGTTACAAGGGAGGAGGACAAACATAAAGGAAATGGATGCAGTAAGAGACAAGAATGCCCTTTTAGAAGAGATGGATGCAGGAACAAGGGCTGCTGAGGACACACTTACAGAGGAGGTGTATGCAGTTACAAGGGAGGAGGACAAACATATAAAGGAGATAGATGCAGTAAGAGACAAGAATGCCCTTTTAGAAGAGGTGGATGTAGTAACAAGGAAGGAAGATAGAATAACAGAGGAGCTGGATGCAGTAACAAGGGCTGCTGAGGACAAACATATAGAGGAGGTGTATGCAGTGACAAGGGAGGAGGACAGACATATAAAGGAGATGGATGCAGTATGAGACAAGAAATGCCCTTTTAGAAGAGGTGGATGCAGTAACAAGGGCTGCTGAGGACCCACTTACAGAGAAGGTGTATGCAGTGACAAGGGAGGAGGACAGACATATAAAGGAGATTGATGCAGTAAGAGACAAGAATGCCCTTTTAGAAGAGGTGGATGCAGTTACAAGGGCTGCCGAGGACACACTTACAGAGGAGGTGTATGCAGTTACAAGGGAGGAGGACAAACATATAAAGAAGATGGATGCAGTAAGAGACAAGAATGCTCTTTTAGAAGAGGTGGCTGTAGTAACAAGGAAGGAAGATACAATAACAGAGGAGCTGGATGCAGTAACAAGGGCTGCTGAGGACACACTTATAGAGGAGGTGTTTGCAGTGACAAGGGAGGAGGACAGACATATAAAGGAGATGGATGCAGTAAGAGACAAGAATGCCCTTTTAGAAGAGGTGGATACAGTAACAAGGGCTGCTGAGGACCCACTTACAGAGAAGGTGTATGCAGTGACAAGGGAGGAGGACAGACATATAAAGGAGATTGATGCAGTAAGAGACAAGAATGCCCTTTTAGAAGAGGTGGATGCAGTTACAAGGGCTGCCGAGGACACACTTACAGAGGAGAGTATGCAGTTACAAGGGAGGAGGACAAACATATAAAGAAGATGGATGCAGTAAGAGACAAGAATGCCCTTTTGGAAGAGGTTGGATGTAGTAACAAGGATGGATGATACAATAACAGAGGAGCTGAATGCAGTAACAAGGGCTGCTGAGGACACACTTACAGAGGAGGTGTTTGCAGTTACAAGGGAGGACAAACATATAAACGAGATGGATGCAGTAAGAGACAGGAATGCCCTTATAGAAGAGGTGGATGTAGTAACAAGGAAGGAAGATACAATAACAGAGGAGCTGGATGCAGTAACAAGGGCTGCTGAGGACACACTTACAGAGGAGGTGTATGCAGTTACAAGGGAGGAGGACAAACAGATAAACGAAATGGGTGCAGTAAGAGACAAGAATGCCCTTTTAGAAGAGGTGGATGTAGTAACAAGGAAGGAAGATACAATAACAGAGGAGCTGGATGCAGTAACAAGGGCTGCCGAGGACACACTTACAGAGGAGGTGTATGCAGTGACAAGGGAGGAGGACAAACACACAGAAGAGACAGATGCTTTGACAGAGGAGGCTACTTCTCAGCAGGATTTGGAAGTTAAACTTCTCAGCAGGATTTGGAAGTTAAACTTCATATTCTTGTCTTTTGAATGCTATTTAATATTGATTATACATGGTTGTAGAAAGTTATTTAACCCATCAATGTAATTTTTTAAAAGATTTTCTACAGGGACTTATGTTTTAATTAAACACGGAACCCAACTTTTCCCAGCAGTTGTAAGTTAATGTTAATAGTTAAAAGGAGTGAGAGATGGATCAAACAAGATATTGTTTACGATGTTGAGAGAAGTGATGTTCTTGTAAAACTGGCAGATCCCGTGGAAGAAAAAAAAGAGGCCGAAGAAGTTTTTTTTACATTTTGAAGGTATGTATGAAAATTCAAATCCCTAAATTAAAACACCATTTCCTACAATTTTGCTCTTTTTGATTATAATAAAACTCATTTATTTTCTTTTCAGATGCTATGCTACCAGCTCCTTATGATTTTCTTGGCTGATTGCCTGTTATTATTTGACCATTGTCAAAATTTAAATCTGTGCTGATACAAGATTTTTTTCTTATTATTTTGTTAAAGATAAAATTTTATTAGTAAACTTCAGTTGTATATTAATGAAGAACAAATAATAAAATTACTAAATAAAAATTACAAAGCTGATGAGAGTTAAAATATCCTTACCACGAAAAACTGTGAGGGATGTTATAATGTAACATCCGTCACAGCGCTTAAAATTCATGGAAATACTTTCAGTAGTTTTCATTAGTATTAGCAGAATGTTTGAATGGAGTTGTATTTGACAAATTAACTTCATTGCATGTATAAAGTCGTGTGTATTCTTAACAAAACTTACGAAATGCGTTAAAAAGCGTCGTCAATGTAACCTCCGTAACTACCTTACTTTAGTTTGTCAATTTGCAACATCCATTTCTGAATTGTATGTCAAAAAGTCAAATATAACATCCGTTTATTATAAAGGATAAAAAATTCTTCAAAAAAGAACTAATGTATCCTGTTCTGCTTTTTAATGAAAAACTAGTGTTATTTCCTCATTTAGTGAAAAAAAAACTCACGGTAAACATGATTTCTGTGCAGAAAAACGATTGAAAATGCTATAGTAGGAAAAATTGATGTCACCTCCGTCACGATTAATTGTGCCTTATTAATTTTACAGATAGGTCATAGAAATTTGTCTACTTCGTCCCAAGTAAAAGTGTGGTCAGGTCCATGCATATGATGGTCTTTTTTGGGGTCTCTGTAATGCGAAATAACTTAAAAATTCACATTATATGTGTCAACATAACGCCCATCACTTTTTGATCACCTATATTTGGATGCGATTTTCTTAAAAAATAAGGATGCAACTATCTTTTCTTATTAAATTCATGAAAGAAGGTGTAAATATAAATGTATTTAATTAGAAAAAATGTAAAAAAATATTGACACAATTTTTTTCACTGTGACGGTCGTTATTATTTACAAATAGCTGATCCTTGCCCATAACACAGTTGGCTGCTTTTGATGGTGAAGAACTATTCAACAGTTATATAATACCAAGCCATAACATTTCTCCAACAGTTTCCTCCCTTACAGGATTGTCTTTCGATTTTCACACGAATCAGATGTACCATCATGGGACACCAGTAAAGAGTGAAGATCTTTATACTGCAATGCGGGACTTCATTGATTACATCAATAAGAAACAAAAGCCAATCCTCTTTGGGCACAACATTGCAGCATATATGATGTTCCTGTTTTGCTGAAGAAATTACAGGAAACCCACCTGCTACCAGAATTTTTAAAGCAAATCACAGGTTGTATTGATACCCTTAAATTATCTCGAGGACAGTTTGACAAAAATGTTATTGGTAATTACAAACAGCAGAATCTTGTATCTAAGATACTTGGTGAAGATTATGATGCACATGATGCAAGTGCTGATGTTAAGAGCCGTTACAAACTTCTTGGGAAGCTTGATTTTTCAGAAAAGGACATCTTCCCGTTCAATGTGTTAGTATTAACAGAATCTCTTACTCCTCTGATTAGAGCTTCAAGCATAACGAAGCCAACAGCGAGGCGATTAGTGCAATGCGGACTTTGTCAAAGACATTTGCAGTTGGCTTTTAACAGGGGAGGTGAAACTAGACTGAATTTTGTGTTGAAAGAACATGGTTTCAAAGCAAGAACAGTTAACGCAATCACAAGATTTTTCTCAAGCAAAGAAGAATAATGTATTCACAGTTTATACATGTATGCTGTGTAACTGTATTTATTTGTTCATGTTTGTTGTACTGTTGGTGTGTTTTTGGTAATTGGCCGCTCCACATGTACATGGTTTTTATATTATAAAAGTACATTTGTCATTTACAAATATAAGGGAGTGTTTTTCGGGGGTGGTAATTGGCCGCTCCACATGTACACTGTTTTTATACTATAAAACTTTATTTGTCATTTACAAATATAAGGGAGTGTTTTTCGGGGGCGGTAATTGGCCGCTCCACATGTACATGGTTTTTATATTATAATAGTACATTTGTCATTTATAAATATAAGGGAGTGTTTTTTCGGGGGTGATAATTGGCCGCTCCGCATGTACACAGTTTTTATACTATAAAACTTTATTTGTCATATACAAATATAAGACACTATTTTTCGCACATTTGTACACATATAAAAGATCATGTGAAATTTACAGGTTAAAGGGAGTGTTTTTAGGGGGGGGGGGGCAGTAACTGGCTGCTCCACATGTACACTGTTTTTGTTTTGGTTAATGTTCATGTCTTATGTGCTTTGTGAGTATTGTGTCAGATGCTGTGCTGCTGTTTGCATATGCTAAATTCTGTGCCTTTTGATAAAAATATAATTCACTAACTTTTTTTGATAAATTCTTATAATTGAAAAATGATCTTAAGGATAATTCTTTAAATAATAATAAACTATTTTTTCCTAAATGTGTCTCTGTGTGCACTTTTTTTTAAGCGAGAATGTTCATTCTTAACAACATAATCTTTAGAACACACACACACCCTCTCTCACACACACAACACAGATAAAATTATTATCTCCCTTGATCATCCAAAGAGTAATATTGACCGACCATGTACCTATTGATTTAATAATGCACATATCTATTCTCTGAATAAAGCCATTCATTTATATTAAAATTCTAGAAAGTTTATTGGAGAATCTGGTCTTTATCCTATCATAGATAGCAAAAATAAAAAAAAATCGGAAAAGGGGGGGTTTAAATTTTTCTTTCATTCTCCCTTATATGCTAAGTAAGTGACCATGAAACTTTTACATGTTACAGAGAACACCTTTATTTTGATACATGGGGAAAAAAATCAAAATTCATTGAGCCATTTTTTAAGGGTGGTCACATATTTAGCAAATTAAGCATTTAAAACATGCTGTTTTGAGGAACACTCGTGAGATAATTTTTCATGATTTTTTAAAATTGCCAAGTAGAAATGCCTGATATCTCTATAATATTAAAATTTACATTCAAACTTAAAATTATTGTTTATAAAGTGCATAAAATTCCATAGATTTAATTTCTAAATCACTGAAAAATGACTTTTACTTAAATATTTTCAATTCGAGAAAAGGGGGTAATTCAAACCATATTATCTCCCTTGAATAGCAAGAAATTGACCATGAAATTAATATATATTGTAGAGGACGTCTTAATGTTGATATATGAAAAAAAAAAAATTATTGAGTAATTTTTTTTCGATGCAGCATTCCGGTTCCTACTTAATACTGAAAGTCAAATACCTTTCTCCATCGTTTTTTGACTTAAATTCAGTTCACAGACATTTTTTTGTTTTTGTCATCTTACTATGCCATCTCTTTTTGTCGGAGAAAATGTATAATGCATCTTCAGTTGTAAAATTGTCTCCAGAACTCTGTGTAGAGCCAGGTTTTCACTTTGAGACATAGCATGAATAGCCTGCTCCTCACCCACGTTGCTAAAATTCGACTCAGTCATACGTGCTACAGGTAAAAGCGTGTTCGAAACTGGTTGATTGCTCGTCGCTGACCACTTCACGCCTGACCAGCACCTTATATATCGTGACCTAACAACTACTTTTCATTATACTTGCGCATGCCGAAATAGTTCAAACAATGCAACTAATAGAAATTAATGTCTTTTAAGTAAGAAAAAGAACTGATAACTTTTTAAAGTTCCCTTGAATATACTTAAAATAACTGAATCAAATTACGTTGAACAATTATTTTTTTATTTTATTTGAACAAGCTTTTATAGACGTCAAATATATACTGCGATATTCACTTCCGGTTTAGTGGCATGGAGTCAAGGATGAACTGTCAAAGTGGAAACAACAAAGCATTGATGTAACCATCAATTGTCGCCTGGGAAATACGGAAATGAGTCTTGATCATCAAACCGTTTCAATATGTATGAAACAGGCATTCGTCAAAATGATGGAGACGATAATCGAGAATATTTTTTAAAACTTCGAGTCGGATGAAAATCAAACAAAAACGATACCCTTTTAAACTTTAATAATTCCTCAATTAAATGTTGGGCGCATAAAATAAAAGAAATTGAAACCAGACACATGCAATCACCTATATTCAAATGAATGTATTTCACTATAATTAAGAATATAAAACGCAAATTGTGTTTTGTACGTTTTTATGCGACTTCGATGTTCTATACCAGAAGTCTCTGTCGAGACTGAAGCTCTACTGGTTTGTACTTATAGCAAAGAAAGAGAAAAGTGCTTAAGTTGAGAATTGAAACATTACAACAGCAATAAATGGAATATTGATCCCTGATGAAGTCTTTTTATGTTCTTAGTGTAGTCTACTTGCATGCCACATTAAATTATAATCAGACTAAAATTGTATTTGGAGTAGCATTTTGAGAGTATTTAACAGAAATTTCTATTTTTAGTAACAAAGGCAATAATGTTCATCAAACATTAGTCAGTCAAAAACCAAAACATAGAATTACGTATCTTAGTGTAGTCTTCTTGTGTACAAAGTTATACTGAAATCAGACCAAAACTGTAGGAGAAGTAGCATATTGAGAGTATTTAACAGAAATTTCTGTTTTTAGTTACCACGGCAATATCGTTCATCGAAATAAAAAAAACCGATACACAGAATTATGTATCTTAGTGTAGTCTACTTGTGTGCCAAGTTTTATTGAAATCAGACCAAAACTGTAGGAGGAGTAGCATTTTGAAAGAATTTCACAGAATTTTCTATTTTTAGTAACAACGGCAACACCGTTCATTGAAATCAAAAACTGATACACAGAATTATGTATCTTAGTGTAGTCTACTTGTGTGCCAAGTTATATTGAAATCAGACCAAAACTGTAGGAGGAGTAGCATTTTGAAAAATACAGACAGACGGACGCCGGACGCATTACTATCGCTTAAGCTCTTTTGGTCTCTGACCAGTAGAGCTAACAAGAGGCCCACGGGCCTTATAGGTCACCTGAGCATTCTGCAACAACTTTCCAATTATTGAATTTGATTCATGTTTTAAGCCAGATGCTATATGGCATTCACAATTTTGAAAGAGGCACCATTGATCATCATAACAATACACTTAGCAGTTGCTTAGCTTGGTTTATTGATTTAAATATGCCCAATAATAAGTTCATAGGATCTTCATGAACGTTTCATGAACATTTCATGAATAAAATTCATGAAAAATTCAAGGTAATTCATGAATTATTCATGATCACCTCGCAGGGGTACTGAATACCCATACGCAAGGTAGGGGGAAAAAATGCATTCCAACTAATCAGTAATATTCCGCAATAATCAGTAATGCCCCTAACACTGTGAAATAAACCCCTGACCCTAGGTCCACACAGTGCACAAATTTTAAAAAGGCACCGTTAAAATTGCCTATCAAAAAATAAATAAATGTTTTATAAATACAAAGGAGCAGATTTCAAACAATTAATTCATTTTCAGTATATAAGTAGAGCCCCACCCCCACCCCTGACCCTGGGGCCTTGAAATTCAAAATTTTGCAAGATTAGGGCCCTTGCTCATCATAACTATTTAGGTAGTTCATCTGCTTCATACCCAGAGACAGAGAAGAAAATTTTCAAAGATTTAATGTATATTCACTATATAATCAATAGAACCCCCCCCACACACACACACACCAGAACCCCTGACCCTGGGACCATAAAATTCACATTTTGGTAGAGGCACCCTTGCTCATCATAACTATGTACTTAGTTAGTTTATATAATACCTAGGAGCAGAGAAGAAGATTTCAAAGAATTTATGTATTTTTACTACATAATCAATAGAGCCCCACCCTAACACCAGAACCCCTGACCCTGGGACCATAAAATTCACAATTTTGGTAAAAGCACTCTTGCTCATCTTAACTATGCACTTCGTTAGTTTATTTAATACCTAGGAGCAGAGAAGAAGATTTTCAAAGAATTCATGTATTTTTACAATATAATCTATAGAGCCCCCCCCCCCCCCCCAACACCAGAAGCCTTGACCCAGGGACCATAAAATTATTCACAATTTTGGTAGAGGCACTCTTGCTCATCATAACTATGCACTTAGTTAGTTTATTTAATACCTAGGAGCATAGAAAAAGATTTTCAAAGAATGTGTGTATTTTCACTATATAATCAATAGAGCCCCACCCCCCCCCCCCCAATAACACCAGAACTCTTGGCCCTGGGGCCATAAAATTCACAATTTTGGTAGAGGCACTCATGCTCATCATAACTATGCACTTAGTTAATTTATATATATCTAGGAGCAGAGAAGAAGATTTTCAAAGAATTCATGTATTTTTACTATATAAT